TTACGAACCACATCGAGGTCACGACTCGGTTAGCCTTGCTCAACTGGTTCGTAACCAGTCTTGTGATTGGTTGTTGACAAAATGCTGAACAGGCCACACCTCCAACTGTGTCATGCGTTCGGGCAAACCGTTCAATTTGTGTTGTTTTCTTGATTTATTCTGCAGATATCGGTAAAATATAGCTAAGGCGTTGGCAAAATATGAAGGAGCAACTAATATTCTTCAACCTGGTATTTTTTTTAGATTTTATTTTTCATTCTTTTCGTCTGTTTTTTCGAGTATAAAAATGTGAGCTGGCTGGAGCCTTCATTCCTTGTCTATTTCTTACACTAGATACCAGCAGTTACTCCCCCACCCCCGCTCATAGAGACTGCGTACTACAGTTGATTATAGTTTCTGGGCTCCCTGTGATTAAAAGGAACGAAATCACAGCAGTTTCATGGTATCTATGTCAATAAACTGTATTCTGACAATCATTATGTGACATTGCGTTAAACATATACCAAGCGGTATTCCTGTAACAAGATTCTAAGTTTGCTCATTGACGTGGCTAACATGGTAGCCTTATAGTTGGCCGCAGAGAATAATGGGAGCCCGGAGTTGTGACGTAGAAAAGTCTTAAATGTAATGCTATGATAAGGGGTCTTGTAAGGTTTTTGTATTCCCTAAGATAGTAGTAATAAAACATCTGTGTTTACAAATATGCCTGCTTGTAAATATTTTGACTGTTGTAATGACAAGGATCGGTGCCAAGAAAAATATTTGTTTACAACCGATATTTCAAACATCTATTTTTTCGTCGCTAAAATCCTAGTTGTCTGAGCTAAAATACAGTACCCATTTCGCCCAACCTCCCATCCACTTTCGCTTTTCAATCGCTTTTGCGACCGCTTGTTGAATTCGATCGAACAATTTCCGCTTAATTTCGACCGTGCAAACCCGGAAATACCACCGCCCGCTGACTCGCATTTAAAATTCGGACTACTAAGAAATGTTCAAGGTTCACATTGACTTATAATTGTCTTTCTGATCCCGTTGGTTTCTCCATACTGAGTTTAGGGCGGGCGTTGGTCCCGAAATCCGTCATTCAACACAATTAGCCGAGACAGAACAAACATTGAGCGTAATTCCTTAGAATCATGTCCCGTAATTTGTGGGCTGAAAACCCAAATAAAATATTATTATGTAATTTTTTTTTATTTTACATCGCGAAACTAAAACACAGCTAGAGTTGTTTCGGTGAAACAGCCGCCTTGAAATCGATGCAACTTCAACATCCATTTCAATAAAAAAAAATAAAAATTCGATGAGCATCAGGGAATATAATAATAACCATTCTTACCAATCACTAGCTTTATTTTATTCGAATCCATCCAAGTTTTTAGACATTTTTCGGCAACTAATTGTTGGCTAAAAATGGTTGAAAATGTGGGTGTGATTCTCGCGCAAAGTCATGTTGATAATACAGACAAATATGGTTCTGTGACCCAGGTCGGGCTTTGATCAGGTGACTCTCAGCCAATCAATGATGTTGTAACAAAGCATATTTGACGCAAATTGAAGGATCGTCGTACCATCCAATCTGCGGCGTTGATTCACATAGTTTTTGCGCTGTAACAGGCTTCAAAATTATTCATTGAAAACATCGGTGTATTTTGACAAAGGGGGTGGGATTTGACCTCAGTTCAAAAAGAAAAACTAGGCCGAATTAATGTCCATGGCGAATCAGTTTTCTTTGCGAGTTGTGAAATAAGGTAAACCAGAGTAGGGTCGATAATTCTCATTATCAAAGAACTTCGTGTAAATCATTATTTTTAAATTGATCATCGATTGGTCACCAAATATTTACAGTTACAAATAATTTAATACGTTTTTTCTGAACCCCAATAAATTATTTATAAATGACAAGCTCTGTTCGAATTTTCAGGGCATGTGGCCCGCTTTTATTCGAAAATGTACCTCTGATAATAGTTAATACGACTATTACTAGTTTCACCTCCACACTTTACTATCAAACCACCATTTCGACCATTCATGTGTCAGTGATCAGTGTTTGGGTGAGCGGTCGGAAAAAAGGCGGTTGAAATGCAGTCGGTTTCCGGTCGGAAATTAGGCAGTAATCGTTCGATTAAAAGCGGTAAAAGCGGAAGGTTGGGCGAAATGGGTACTGTAGTAACCCACTCAAGGAACTTATTCTTTTGACTATTTAATGAAAAATTTCCCTTACTTCGCACCGTTGTAGTCGGATTTCTGCTATCTGTCCAAATGGGGCGATCTAATTACGATGATTCATAGCATGGTTTCCTTGTTTTATAATTCAGTCCCGGACCTAGGGAGTTCCTATGACCATTCTATGGAAGCATGATAACACCGCGAATACAAACTGAGTTATACTGTAGAAAATAATGTTCAAAATAATAATAATCAACATCAAAAATAATTTTCATAATTTATGTAGAGAATGGTTTTAACTGGGATGCAGACGATTTATTCTAGAAATTCAGAATTAACAATTAATAGATCTGGCAAAATCGCTACCTATATTATGGCTAGCCTGGGGGCAATAGCGTGTTTCGCCGTAAATATCAACTTTATGATTTAGTAGAGCTTTTGTCTATATCGGTTGCAAGTTTGAAATAATTTTGTCTGTTGGACACTAATTGACAAAATAAAAACCAAAAGTAAATAGCGGGAGTCGTTGTCCGGACTGAATTATAGACTGACAATGTTTAGCTTTCATATCTCTACGTTTAGTGTCTAATATCGATTACTTTTCATTCACATTAATCGTCACCACTGTAAACAATATGCAGCATGGTCACGTGGTACAAACAATTAAATACATCATAATCGAATACATAATGTATTCAAATGCATGCTTAGTAATTACAACCAACAATTGTTATAAACGGGGCATCATTTATTGTGTATGAAGTGTTTGCCTAAAAACAGGAATTATATATCCCAACATGGTGTCTGTTAAAGCACGCTTACCTGCAGCAATGTACGAAACATTGACAAGCAATGCAATGAATTAATGCGGAATAGAGGA